GGGGGAGATGGGGTGAGTGGGGGGCAGATGGGGTGAGTGGGGGGGAGGTGGGGTGAGTGAGGGGAAGGTGGGGTGAGTGAGGGGGAGGTGGGGTGAGGGGGAGAGGTGGGGTGAGTGGTGGGGGAGTTGGGGTGAGTGGTGGGGGAGGTGGGGTAAGTGGTAGGGGAGGTGGGGCGAGTGGTAGGGGAGGTGGGATGAGTGGTGGGGGAGATGGGGTGAGTAAGGAGGGGAGATGGGGTGAATGAAGGGGATGATGGGGTGAATGAAGAGGATTATAGGGTGAGTGGTGGGGGAGATGGGGTGAGTGAGGAGGGTAAATGGGGTGAGTGAGGAAGGGAGTTGGGGTGAGTTGGGGGGAGATGGGGTGAATGGGGGAGATGGGGTGAATGAAGGGGATGATGGGGTGAGTGGTAGGGGAGATGGAGTGAGTTGAGTGATGGGGGTGTGGCTGGGGCAGGGCCTCCCTGGTACTCTGACGTCACTCTCACTCATCTTCATCACTGTCCCCTCTCACCACAGTGAGCCTCCAGCTAGCTGGCTGCAGCTGACCCTGGCGGTTCCCCTCCAGGATCTGAGTGGCATAGAGCTGGGCCTGGCTGGCCAGAGCCTGCGGCTGGAGTGGGCAGGTGGGGCAGGCAGCTGTGTGCTGCTGCCCCCAGATGCCAGGCGTTGCCGGGCCTTCCTAGGGGAGCTCCTTGGTGAGAGATGGAATGGGAAGGCGGGAAGGCGGGAGGGTGGGCAGGGCCCTGGGGCCAAGCTCCCCACCTGGTGTCTGTAGCAGAGACAGAGAAGGGAACAGGACTCGCCTCTTGTAGAAGTTCCTGAAATCCAGCAATGTGGAGAACAGGAAGGGATTGAGAGGTGGTGAGTTTGGGTGGACGAGAACAGAGCCATCTAACGTTCCTGGCCTGGCTCTGTCTAGATGTCTTGCAGTCTCTGCCCCCTGCCTGGAGGAACTGTGTCAGTGCTACGGAGGAGGAGGTGACCCCCCAGCACCGGCTCTGGTGAGTCGATAGGAGGCAGAGGTGGGGGGTTGCTGCCGAAGTCTCTTTCCCCAGAGCCCCAGACACTCCTGTGCTGAGTAGGCCCTGGATAGCCACCTGTCCTCATGCCATGCCCCCCATGGGCCCTGTGCCTCCTTCCAACCCACCCACAGGGCTTTCTTCCTCCTCCCCTCCCTGGAAGTCCTTCCCACCCTGCGCTGATCTTCCTGTGCCTGCCATGTTCCCCCTAGGCCACTGCTGGAGAAAAACTCATCCTTGGAGGCCCCCCAGTTCTTCTACCTTCGGGTGTTCCTGGTTGAAGGTGAGGCCCCTGTGCTGCTGATGCTTCCCTGGACTCTGTACCTGCCCTTGTCACAGACCCCGGCCCACCCCCAGCAGCTGTACAGTGCCCCTATAGCAACTGTCAGTTCCTGGAACTGGACTTCTCTCACTCGAGGCCATAGCCAAGTAATGGCCTCAGCTTGTCCTGCCTCAGGGTGCCCTTTGTCTCTGGGTGGGGTCAGGAGGCTCCCGGGGTCCTCAGGTACACAGAGCCTTTGCTCTTGGGCCCAGTCTTTCTTGAAGTGGAACAGCCATGCTGAGTCGGCCCTGCATCATCAGTCAAAGGTGAGGGCACAGCCTGGTTTCTGAGTAGGGTGGGGGTGGGGCAGTGGGAGTGGTAGGCCTGAGATGTTGGAGACTAGAGATTCCTGGAGCTTGGGAAGCGAGCGTCTCATCCCCAGGGGCACAGGCTGCTCTGGGGCCCAGCTCGGAGTGTGGCTCCTGTCTCTTCCCAGCAGCACTGGGACGCTGGCCCCAGGGATCCGTTTCCTCCATGACCTTCCACTCTGGGTGCCTCTCTTCCTCCAGGCCCTTCCACCTGCCTTGTGTCTCTGTTGCTGACTCCGTCCACCCTGTTCCTGTTAGAGGAAGATGCTGCAGGGTCCCCAGCAGAGCCCCCTCTTCCAGCAGCGGCTGTCGAAGCCTCAGAGAAGGTGCCTCCCTCGGGACTGCGCCCTGCTGTGCGCATCCGGGAGCAGCAGCCACTCAGCAGCCTGAGCTCTGTGCTGCTCTACCGCTCAGCCCCAGAGGACCTGCGGCTGCTCTTCTACGATGAGGTGTGTGTGTGTGTGTGTGTGTGTGTGTGTGTGTGTGTGTGTGTGTATGACTGTGTGTGTCTGTGTGTGTATGACTGTGTGTGTATGTGTGTATGACTGTGTGTATGTTTGTGTGTCTGTGTGTGTGTGTGTGTGTGTGTGTCTGTGTGTCTGTGTGTATGTATGACTGTGTGTGTGGCAGAGGGAGGAAGGGGAGATGGTGAGCACAGGTGGAGGCCGAGGGCAGGGTGGGAGATGGGTCTAGGCACCCTGCCATTCATGGCAGAATGGCAGTTCTGGAAGAGGGAATGAGGGCTGGAGGAACTGGGGGACTCTGGGCTTGGATGAGCACCAAGTCAGGGAGGGAGGCAGCTGTAGGCTGGGGGGACACCTGGACTGGGAGCCCAGCCATTGATGAGCCACGAGGCTTTCAGTGAGGTTTCCAGCTGCTCTGAGTTGGCAGGATTGGGCCAGCTCAGAGCTCTGTGTGCCAGCCGTTTGGTCTTTGTGACACCACCTGAGGAGCTACTGTTATTGGTCCCGTTTACAGATGAGGAAACTGAGGCTTGGGGATGTTAACCAGTTTGCCCAGGCCACAAGTGGTGGAGCTGGGAGTTGAATCCACACAGTTCCTTGAAATTGAGCCCACATCTTCTGTACAACAGGGGAGATGAGAGAGATGGGTCCTCTGGAGGCTTTCAGTAAATGTGGACTGGCTTCTGTTTACAAAGCTCAGAGTCAGGATCTTTGATGGGAGTGATAGGGGCCAGGGGAAGGGGAGAGGCGCTGAGCCAAGGCAGAGACAGTGAGGCTTCCCGGAGACCTTCCCTGCACTGCCCTCCCCCAGCCCACTCCGTGTGCCCCCCGCACCCCCCGAGCCTTGCATTGCTGACTGCTTGGTCTGCCAGGTGTCCCGGCTGGAGAGCTTTTGGGCACTCCGTGTGGTATATCAGGAGCAGCTGACAGCCCTGCTTGCCTGGATCCGGGAGCCGTGGGAGGAGCTATTTTCCATCGGCCTCCGGACTGTCATCCAAGAGGCTCTGGCCCTTGACTGATGAGGCTCCCATGGTGACCTTGGTTCTGACCTCAGGAGCCATACTGCAGACGTTCCCGCTACTGGTCTCTGGGTTTGGCTGTGGACTTCTCCAGCCTCTGGGTGCTGTCCAGTAAGACCCCAAATGACCCAGGGTTTATGGGAGAGGTGAGAGAATGGTCTGGCCTCGGAACAGGCCACGTTGTCAGGAGGAATCGTTTTCCTGCACTTTTTCTCAGGTATCAATAAAGTTATTTCCAACTCATATGTCACTTGTGGTACTGAGATGTGTCACTCTTAAGGCTTGCGGTTCCCTAACCTCTTCTGACAGAAGCTGTCCTGCCCATCACCTTTCCTGAATGGGCAGCTCCAGGCAGCCTTGTTTGTACCATGAGACCCCATCTGCAACCCAGCTGTGGTCCCAGCATGGAGGAGCAAGTAGAACTGACCCACAGGCACGCAGTCCCAAGCTGGCAGTGACCTGTCATTTGGCATGGCATGGAATTGCTACTAAACAAATAGCCGGGCCAGATGGATTCCTGCTCTCTTGAATTTTACATGGGAAGCAGTGAGGACTTCAGGCCATCGCAGAGGATGTCTGGGGAGAGGCTGTGTGGAGTCGAGCAGTGATCCCTGGTGCTTCCTGGTATTGTTTTTGCCCCGGCCGGGAGGCCTGGATGGGCAGCCCCACTCCCTCACCTCTTGTCTTCATGTCTGGCCACAGTGATGGTTCAGGGATACTCATGTGACTTGGTTTAGCTTACGAAGGCCCAGCGCAGGCATTTGACTAGAGCAACCAAGAAAGAGGCAAGTTTCCTCTCGGTTGCTAAGAGAATTGGCCTGGAACTGCTAGCTGTGAGGTGAGCGCTTTCCTGAACGTGGAACCCTGAGAGAGAGGACGGCAGGGCTGGGTGGAGAGAGCATGGCCAGATCCTGGGAATATCTTTGGAGCCCCTGGATCTAGTTGTGCCGGAAGGCAGAAGCCCCTGGGATTTAAGGTAACGTGAGCTAAAGGAAGCCCTCCCCTCTTTGTTTCTATGGCTTAAGCTAATTTGAAGCAAGTATGAGCCAACAAGAGTCCCAACCAAACAAACCCCGACTCCACCTTGAGCTGGGCTGAGATCTGTTTCTTTTGCCCAAGAATGAACACAATGGAAATCATGACACCCACATAGTTGTGTAGAGAGGTCCTGGTTCCTGGTTTCTATTGTGAAGTGAGGTGGAATAATTAATCCAGCTCACTCTTTGTGTCAGGCCTAAGGCCTTGACCACTTTGTGACTCGACTGCTTAGTGGGACAGCAGGACTGGGGCTGTGTCACTGTGGAACCTTCCACCTGGAAAGGATGCAGGGAGGGTTGCCTGGCCTATCCAGCCCACTACATCCCTAAATCCATGGGGTAAAGTATTTAAAAATTAAAAGGGGTAATTTAAAATCCTGTACTTGGCTGGGTGTTATGGCTCACGCCTGTAATTCCAGCATTTTGGGATGCTGAGGTGGGCAGATCACGAGGTCAGGAGTTTAAGACCAGCCTGACCAACATGGTGAAACCCTGTCTCTACTAAAAATAGAAAAATTAGCTGGGTATGGTGGTGGGCACTTGTAGTCTCAGCTACTCAGGCGGCTGAGGCAGGAGAATCGCTTGATCCTGGCAGGTGGAGGTTGTAGTGAGCCAAGATTGTGCCACTGTACTCTATAGCCTGGGTAACAGAGCGAGACTCTCTCAAAAAAATAAAACATCCTGTACTTTTACATGTATTTAAAGTTACTTAAAATTTATTTAAAAGATAATATGTACAGGAAAAATTACGCGGCACTGAAGAATGTAGAGTGGGTTGCTCTCATATGCCTGAGCCTCTAACTCCGATCTTTAGATTAAGGCTTTCTTTTTTTCTTTTTTTTTTTTAATTACATAAATTAACCCATTTATTATAGGCCAGTGATGTCTCAAAGAGTAGAGGAGTGTCTACTGGTCTTTCAATTCCTTCAGTCTTCTGATGACGGACCGTAACAGTGGAAGTGGTATTGTACGTCCAGGCACCGCCAGCCACTGTCTTCATGCAGGAACCACAGTGCCAGATGCCCACAGCTCATCTCTTCATCTTGGTTTTGCCACAGAAAGAGCAAGTGTACTTGGCATGCTGGCCGATTTCAATTTTCTTCACCATTTTCCGGAGGGAGGCCCTATAGCGAGTTCCATATTTACCGACGATCCCAACCTTCTTGGTACGTTTGGCCATGTTGCTGGTCCGAGCCCAGAAAGGACTAGATTAAGCCTTTCTTACCCATTTTGTGTGTATATGCTCAGAAATCTCAGTGTATATATATATTTTTCCGCAGAAAAGGGTAATTAAGCCACTCAATTCCATTAAAAAAGATTGATTTCTAAGATTAGTTTCTCTCCAGCAGGTCTGGTCTGTTTTGGCAGGAGAATGGAGCGGAAATGGTGGGAGTCATGGAACCGGCTATTTGGGAAATGCTGGCTGGGGTCGAGGCCCCTTGAAAATGCCTGCAGAGGCTGGGGACCCAAAAACATCTGTACAGAGGCCCAGAAAGTAAATTCACCTACTTCTGTTTTGTTCAGAGCTGCCCTCAATTTTTAATTGAAGCAAATTAAAACTTCCCAAAAATATTAGTCCACTTTCTTGGCAACGTGTACATCCCTTTCTCGGTCAGTGATTTTGCACCATCTGCAAACAGGAGCCAGTGCTGGTCCCGAGGAAGGCCTTCCCTGGCCAGAAGCTGCCCTTCACACCAGGCCTGTTTGCAAGCACCTCCCCAGAAGCTGGGTCAAGTCAGGCCATGGCGCAGATGGGGCAGAATAATCTCCAGTCATCCAGGGTGATTTGCAGAGGAGTGTGAGGTGGGGCATGGGAAGAGAAGTGCCTTCCATTTCCTGGTGCTTATCATCTCTGTGGTGAAGTGTTTTCTTTAACAATTTGGTGGGGTCTTCTGCCTTTATGCAAAAGTGCTCTTCCTTCGGTGACCCATAAGACAAGAGGTCAAGGGTGAGGCTATCCCCACTCCTGGAGGTGTCTGTCCCTTTAGTTCTGCACCTTGCCAGGGGCAGGTGGCCCAGATGTGCCTGCCCCTCCGACCCTTCCGCCCTCAGAGTGAAGGTGACTGCTTTCCTACTGGCTCTCAGCACAGGTGTCAGAAGGAAACACTCGACACTGGACGACTCCCAGAGATCGATTCCTCCTTCCGGCGAGTGCTTATTGATCCATCGCCTGGCCTCTGGCCTTGGGCTTGCTGGCATGAAGGACACAGGCCTCTGGCTCCTGGAAAGCAGTGGAGAGAAGATGTCCTCTCACCTGAAACTAAATCCCAAGGGAGAAGCAGGAAATTGGTGGTGAGGAATGAAGAGGATGAGGAAGAAGGGGCGCAGAGATGGGTATTGAGGGTTTTTTTGTGTGTACTTAAAAATCCTATAATACACATTGAAAGATTATATTTAAAAATTTATATAAGGCCGTATGGGGGTTAGTGACTTAACTGAGTGGTAGAAAAATCAGTGACTAAGACTTCAGAAGCTGAGAGCAGGCCAGCTCAAAGGACCCATCTCTTTTTCTCTCTAGAAGAGGGTCTGTCTTTGCTAATGAATCATGTCACGTGGAGCACAGGGTGACATCCTCCACTCTTGTCAAGATGCTGCGGTAGCTTCTGGAGGGACTCTACCCAGATTGCTTGGCTGTGGTTGAAAATTCAGCCATGGTTCTGTGTGTTATGTTTTCCGATTCACTGAGTACATGCACTATTTCACATTTATTCATCTACTCGAGGGGTGGTGTGGCGTGGCTGTGGTATAGGAAAAGACACGGTGGATTTAGATCTAAAATATCCAGGGCGATGCCTTAGTTTTGTGGCTCCATATCTAATCAAAGGCACAAGCCTCACCCTGGCTCTGTCATCTACTGCATGGAGATGAGACTGATCAGTAAATTCCCTAGTTCACAAAATTGTTGCGTGTAATCATGTATAGGGAGGTACTATGTGGACCATAAAACATGAAATAAGTGCTGGTTAAAAACCTGCCTAGGCCAGGCGCCCTGTAATCCCAGCACTTTCGGAGGCCGAGGTGGGTGGATCGCCTGAGGTCAGGAGTTTGAGATCATGGCCAACATGGAGAAACCACATCTCTACTAAAAATACAAAAATTAGCTGGGCATGGTGGTGCGCACCTGTAATCCCAGCTACTTGGGAGGCTGAGGCTGGGAGAATGGCTTGAATCCAGGAGGCAGAGGTTGCAATGAGCTGAAATTGTGCCACTGCACTCCAGCCTGGGCAACAGAACGAGAATCTGTCAAAAACAAAAACAAAAAAAACCCTGCCTATTACTTATCACAAGCTGCTTTGTTGCCTGGGAATACTCTTTGTAATCAAGAGGGAAGGACTGGGCATGCTGGCTCATGCGTAATCCCAGCACTTTGGGAGGCTGAGGTGGGTGGATCACCCGAGGTCAGGAGATTGAGACCAGCCTGACCAACCTGGTGAAACCCCCATCTCTACTAAAAAGTACAAAAATTAGCCAGGCATGGTGGCAGGAGCAAGACTCTGTCCGCTCCCCCCAAAAAAAGGAAAGCCTGAATTTTATTGCCCAGGTGTTTCTAAGTGGATATTTCCTCAGTGTGTTTTGGAAGGAACCTCAGACACTTCTGGGGCTAGGAGTGAACCATGGCATAGTTGTGTATTTGGTCCATCTTGTCATTTGATAGTTTTGGACTTGGTAACTTCTCCATCCTTCACAAAAACATTCTTCAGTTTATTAGTTACTGTAATTACTTGTGCACTTGCTTTCAATGCCACAGACATTTATTGAGCTCTTAAAATGTGCCCGGCTTCTATGGGAGAAGATGGGGGCAGGGATCCAAGAATGAATCAGACATGCTCCTGCCTTCAGGGAGCTTATGGTCCAGGGAAGGAATGGGGAAAGGTGCCTTGGAGATGGTCGTGAAGGCTGGGTAAGGTTACAGTGGGAGAATATTGCAATAGTGACTATTTCTGAGCACCTGCTCTAATAATTTTGTTCACATTATTTCACTCAGTATGATCGCCGTGAATGAAAAGTGTGATCTCCATTTCACAGGTGAGGAAGCTGAGGTTAAATATAGGGAATCTCACCAAGGGGATATTAGATCTCAAACTTAGCCCATTTGTCTAGAATCTGTGCTGTTTCATCTCAACTGTATTGCCTCTCAGGCCTTCCAGAATGCCCACCCTGCTTCACTCTTCAGTCCCTTTCCTTTTATTTATTTATTTATTTATTTTTTGGACTGGAGTCTGATTCTGTTGCCCAGGCTGAGGTGCAGTGGCATAACTTTGGCTCATTGCAAACTCTACCTCCCAGGTTCAAGCAATTCTCTTGCCTCAGCCTCCCGAGTAGCTGGGATTACAGGTGTGCACCACCATGCCCAGCTAATTTTTGTATTTTTAGTAGAGATGGGGTTTTGCCATATTGGCCAGGCTGGTCTTGAACTCCTGACTTCAGGTGATCCACCTGCCTTAGCCTCCCAAAGTGCTGGGATTACAGGCATGAGTCACCGTGCTTGGCCCTTTAGTCCTTTTCGGTTCACCTTCTTATGGCACCGACTTCCAGGGAAACCACATTCTTCCAGAAAAACACAAACCAGATCATCTACATATCCAGGCAGACTGTTCCTGCCATAGAACATTTCCAGGCTCTTTGTTCTGCCTAGAATGTTCTCCTCCACCGACTTCTCCAATTCACCCTTCATGGCATGGCCAGTTCTTTCATTCCCTTCAGGGTTTTCCTCTTTGTCAACTCCTTACAGAGGATGTCCCTAATCCTGCTTCCTGAATGTTCAGTGTAGCTGGCCCTTCCCTTCATGCATTTGCCATGTTTCTTAATTATAAATTAGGTGTTTGCTTGTCTGTTTTCTGTTAGGTGCTCAAGAACAAGGACAAAGTCCAGATTTTTTCACCAATGTATACACAACCTGGCATGGAGCTTATACAGTGGGTGCACAAAATGTTACTACAACATTTGCAAAAGAGCCTTTTATTTCAAACGCTCATCCGTAGGGTTAGCAGGTCTCACCGACTTCACTCTCTTCCCTTTCTGCACCTTGGGGAACCACCTGCTTTGCTGATTGGGGAGGTCAAAGGGTCTGCTCCTCCACTCCTCCCCACCTTCCAGCTGAGACACTGTCTCTCTTGCTAACCCTTTTCCTCTTTCTTCCTTCACAACCCTCCCTTGGTTCCCTAAAGCGTTGGCTCTGAAAGAACAAAAGGCAGAAAGGCTCATAGGTGATTTCTGCTTTGTGTCCTACCCATTCACCCCAAATAACAAAACTCAAAGCAGGCTACCTGCTTGGGTAGGGGCAGAAGAGGAGCATGCAAGGACATAGATCCACATCTCAAAATTCTTTGTTAAACAAACATCAGTAAAGACGGGAGCTGAAAGGTGGATTCAGCAGGGGTGGGAGAAACTTCAGGGACAGTGGTGCTGTCCTGGATTTATTTCAAAGCTAGTTCAAAATTTACCAATCAACCCATGGATTATGAAGGGATAAACCACCACAGAGTAACAACAATAGTAAATAATAAGGATGGCATTTATTGAGCACCTATTTTGTGCCAAGCATTGAACTGGCATTTTATATATAGTATCTCTAACTCCAGATTCTGGCTCTTTCTCAATGCCACGTTCTCTCTTGTGTAAAAATAAGATCTTACTCACCACCAGGCCAGTCAGCAGCAAATGGCACTGGGTGCTCTGCTCTGGGGAGTGGGGAGATACTTTTGGCAAGAGTCTAAGTGAAACTGGGGCTAGCTCAATCCATACCCTGCTGTATTCCAGAAACTCCCCAGCCTGCCAAGTTAGGGTTACCAAGGCAAAGACTGATCCATGACCAGAGTGTTATGATCTACCCTGGTGGGGATAAAAGTCATTCTGGATCTCCTCGCCTTCTTAGAGTTTGCAATTGTCATCTTTTTTTTTTTTTTTTTTGATGGCGTTTTACCCTGTCGCTCAGGCTAGAGTGCAGTGGCATGATCTCGGCTCACTGGGGTTCAAACAATTCTCCTGCCTTAGGCTCTCAAGTAGCTGGGATTACAGGTGACTGCCACTGTGCTCAGACAATTTTTGTATTTTTAGTAGAGAGGGGGGTTTCACCATCTTAGCCAGGTTGGTCTCGAACTCCTGACCTCGTGATCCACCCGCCTTGGTCTCCCAAAGTGCTGCTTTGGGATTACAGGTATGAGCCACCATGCTCAGCCACAATTCTCACCTTTAATATGGCTCTAAGAATTATTTCTCTGGTAAGAGCAAGCTTTTGCT